GGCAATGAAAACAGAAAAAATCAAACCCCGAACTTTCAGCATTTTAAACCACACAGGAAGCCTCCATGAGTAGGAGAGGCTCCCTGCTTCAGCCCTCTGTCCTGAAACTCAAGCAGGGCTCCAGACTATGTACAGATGGTGCCCCAGAAGGAGCAGCGCTTGGCAGCATATGCCACTCATCCTTGGAGACTGGATGCCCAAGCAGGGATCAGCAAGAGCTCAAGCGTTGGGCGGTTATTTAAAAAGATGACCCAATGTTGATGGTGAGACTAAAAGCAGCGTAGCCTTAGCTTTCCCCTACACCTGAGCAATGTGTGCCTAGGGCACAGGAATGTGGATCACATCGGAGGGGGTGGCACTCATTTGAGAAGCTGGGCTAGAACTGTGGGTAGGAATCCCCACATTAAGTTTCTTAAATTCTAGGTCCTGCCCACTTTACAAACACCAGCACTTCTCCAACTGCTGATCTTGCATCCTCCACAAGTCACTGACAAATGGCCCAGTGCTGCACTTATCCAACACTGCAAAACTGCCACAACCATTGCTGAGGATTTGGCGTGAGGGCCAGCGAGGAGGAGTTGCTGTGCTCTATAGAGATTCTCTCCCTCTCTTGGCTTTCTGTCCAATTAGGGGGGTGGGATCTAGAGTGTGTGTTCCTGGCGTTGGACAACCGGGACAAATTTGGGATTCTGCTGGTTTGCTGGCCGCCTCACTGCCCAGAATCAGAAAAATCTTTATTTGCATCAGCCACCAGCCATAGCTGACAGAGCTGGTTTCAGAGGCAGTGTTAAGGACTCCCAGACTGCTGGTTCTGGGAAACTTCAACATCCATGCCAAAGAGACTAGCTCTGGGGTGGTTCTGGACTTCATGGCTGCCATGATGACCATGGGGTTGTCCCAACATGTTACTGGCCCAAAGCATGTGGCAGGCCACTCTCTGGACCTCCTTTTCTTAACTGGGCAGGTAGAGGGTAATTTGAAAGTGGGGGACATTGACATCAGTCCCTTGTCACGGTCAGAATAGAAATGCTTTTGTCTGGCAGCTAAAGATATGCAACAAAGGTGCCATGCAAATCTCTCTAGGGAGAACATTCCACAAGTGGGGAGCTACTGCAGGGAATGTCTGTTCTCGTCTTGCCACCCTCCAGACCTCTCGCTGAGGAGGCACATGAGGAAGGGCCCCTGCTGATGATCTGGAAGAGGCGGTCCTTGAGGTATTGCCATCCGGAGCCGTCTTAAGGCTTCATAGGTTAAAGCCAGCAATTGGAATTGAGCCCCAAAACACACTGGCAGCCTATGCAGTCAGACCAGAATTAGTGTAATATACTTAAAACCGTCTTTCCCCAGGCTTCTGAGGAAGTGGACCAAAGCTTATGCCATAATACAGTGGTACCTCGGGTTAAGTACTTAATTCATTCCGGAGGTCCGTTCTTAACCTGAAACTGTTCTTAACCTGAAGCACCACTTTGGCTAATGGGGCCTCCTGCTGCCGCCACACCACTGGAGCACAATTTCTGTTCTCATCCTGAAGCAAAATTCTTAACCCGAGGTACTATTTCTGGGTTAGTGGAGTCTGAAGCGTATGTAACCCGAGGTACCACTGTAATGTTAGACTTTAGGATTCCACAAGACTCATTGTTGTTGCTGTTTGCTGCAACAGACTAGCAGTATTACCGCTCCAGAAATTCTTCCTCTTTCAACTTCCTTCCTTCCCCCCCTCTCCTCTTAAGAACAGCCCCCACCAGTTAAAAGACCCATGGGCAAAACTACTGTTACATTCTTTCTTTGCGTGTGCTGACCTCTTGGGGAAAGCACTGCATATTGAGGGGGTTGGGGAGGTTTAATCCAATCTGGTACAGATCAAACTGTTGATGTCTGCAAAGAAAATGAGCGCACTGGGGAACCCCAGAGACACCCACCCCCAGACAGCAAAAAAGATACCTCTCTCTTTTTTTTTAGTGTAACTTGGCCACTCTTGCAGCTTAGCACTATGGAACAATGTCAGCTGTAGGGAAAGCTATGCTCAGGACCGGCCACAGCAGTCTTGCTTTATGCCCCTTTATGCCACCCACATACGATTCCAAACTGGCTTTGTGTCCGTCACAAGCACACACCGATATGTGCGCAGTGGAACAGAATTCTGGTGTGCCACCCCAGCAGACCTCATGCTGTTCCTGCAATAACAATGTCAAGCAGAGCCATCCTCTCAGCCCCTCAGCAGGAGATGCTACTGTCACGCAGGAGTACAAGCAAGAGGTGAAACAGAACCTGTGCTTTGTCATAGGTCCTGCCAGCACCATAACCCTTTGTGGAGTCTGGGAGCCGGCTGATCCTCTGCTATATTGTGGAGTGACCTGATTTGACAAGCCTGTGCTTTTCTGTGTCTCGCAATCAAATGCTCAGAGGACTGTGGGACAAGATAAGGCGAGGGGGGAGCGGTTTACAAAGGCAGCCGATATCTAGGCTGAGCCTTCCAGAAACAGCCCCCCGCCCTAAAATACGCGGCTGTGTTGCTGTGATCATAGTCATTATGCCTGGAAAGCGGCAAGGGGGACGCCCCAGAGGCCCCTCTATGCTGGGGGAGCTCAGGTGTAAATGGCTGTTACTGGAAGCAGAAACCCCAGATAACGAACAGGGAAAGCACTTGAGTTCTACAGTAAAAGGCAGGGATGGTTAATTACACCACGGATGCAAGCGCCTTCCCTTCCATTTCAGCCTGACAGCTGGCTTCTCCTATGAAGCCGGATGTGAGTGCATTTTTTTTCCTGCAGATTTGAGAACAACTGTGCTAATAAAAGTGGAAGCATCCTTCACACTAGAGAATGAAAAATTAATTTTGCTTCTCTCGTTTCTCCCCTCCCCTCCCCTCCTGGCTCTCCTTTCCCAGAATATTTTTTCACAGGCTCCTCTCTGCTTCCCCCCTGGGGATATTTCCATCTGATTACAACCACTTTAAATGAGCACCAGGCTCTTCGACATTATATTGCAAGTTTCCATCACACACTCTCTTCCTCCCTCCCTGCTCTCTCTGCTGCCTGCATGCCCCCCCTTCCGCCTCCCAGGAGAGGAATTTGATACTTCTCGCACTAAAGAGATTGAGTTAGAATTGCGTTTGATGCCAGTGCTTCTCATGCAGTGATGGCTCAGGCTTCATTTCCACTTATTACTGCAAAAACCTGATGAGGAACCATCCCTCTTGGCCAAGTTGCCAAGGCACTTAAAACAACAAAGTGAAATTTAGCAAGGAGATGACAGCTGCAAAGACAGGGTGGGGTTTGTGAGGGGAGCTTGTCAAAATGTGATAACATCTCCCTTGCGTTATATATATATATATATATATATATATATATATATATATATATATATCTCCCCACTTTAAGCAGGATGTTAGCAAGCCAGGGAAACGTGGTAGGTAGTACAGCAACATTACAGTGTGTTGTTGTCCCACTTGGAAGAACCCAAATGTTTGTTCTGCTATTACAAATGCAAAATATCAAACCAACGTCTGCTTTCCTGGAAATCAGGTGCTGCAATGGTTTTGCAAAAGGCGGAGCACTGGATGCCTGTGGAAACCCGACTTAAGCTGAATTCCAGAGTCTATTATAGCTCAAGATTCAGGTAGGTAGCCGTGCTGGTCTGACGTAGTAGAAATATATATTTTTAAAAAATTTAAAAAATTGTCCAGTAGCACCTTAGACATGAACTAAGTTTGTTCTTGGTATGAGCTTTTGTGTGCATGCACACTTCTTCAGATACACTGAAACAGAAGTCACCAGACCTTTATATATAGTGAGAGGGTGGGGAGGGGAATTACAGACAGAGAAACTAATAGGAGAACACTTCAATCTCCCAGGACATTCTATACAAGATCTCAAAGTAGCTGTCATATTACAAAAGAATTTAAGAAACAGACTGGAAAGAGAAGTTGCTGAATTACAACTTATTACCAAACTTAAAACCATGGAGAGACCTGGTCTGAATAGAGACATTGGATTCTTATCTCATTATACATGACAAAGCTATTTTTGGCCATCTCATCCCTTGCTTTTTCCTGTAAGACCAATTACAGTCCTTAACAGTCCTCAACAGGTTTACCACACCTATCAGCCAATCGCCCATTCCCACCACCCTTCTGAGTAATACCCCTCCTACCCTCTCACTATTTATAAGGGTCTGGTGACTTCTGTTTCAGTGTATCTGAAGAAGTGTGCATGCACACGAAAGCTCATACCAAGAACAAACGTAGTTGGTCTCTAAGGTGCTACTGGACATTTTTATTTTATTATATATATTATAGCTCAGTTATGCTGCTGGTGAGCATCACCATTTCATGGGTCCTGCAGTTTGGGACAATGGGCTGTAAGTAGAAAGCAGCAGCACTGTCAGCATGGGTAAGTATCCATGTGGGACCCACGGGGATTATTTTCCATGATTTGCTGCACTTTAAAAAAAAAACCCTGGTATGGGCAGAGTAAGGATTCTTTTAAAATTCAGCCTCTAATCTGAGGGAACTTTATTTGATAAAAGTATGCACTGCAGAAATGCTGTAGTTGTGGCAGCACAAGCACTGACTGGAGGACGAAGGCAGGGGATGGTTCTGCTCTTTTCTGAAATGGAAAACAATCAAATGAAGAAAGGTCATTAGCAAGGTGTAAGTAGACCCTCTTATCCAAACCTGACTCTTCTTCCTGAGAAGAACTTAAGGGCCTAAGAAAGACTTTCACCCAAAGCTGGAACCTACATTCTGAATATGGCAGAGATGGTGCTCTGCTCTGCTCCTTTCCCTCCTCAACCCAACCTTAACAGCTTGTTTAGCCTTGTGTGGGAGCATCTTCCGTTCTGCGGCGAGAAAAGGCCTTTAGAAACATGCTTTATTGCATTAAAACTAGCAACTGCCTTCAGGAGGGAGGCACATTGCTCTCCCCTGTGGTGTTTTCTCAGTGGGAGCTGGAACCTACCCAACATCAGTGGTAGGAAAAGGATTTTGTCTCCACCAAAATGTCTCTGGATAACTCAGTTGGTTAGAACATGGTGCTGATAACTCCAAGGTTGTGGGTTCAATCCCTGTATGGGACAGCTGCATCGCAAGGAGTTGGAGAAGATTATCCTCAGGGTTCCTTCCAAATCTACAGTTCTATGAACCTATGATTTTCCCCTTAGGGATATGTGGTGATGATTATCTTTGCGATAATATACCATTTGAGGTCGACGACTCCTGACCTAGAAAGGGGAGGTGAGTGACAACTGGAAGGGGTTGGGGTGAACCAATGGAGGTCTTGCCTATGACTTCTAACTCGGCTGGTGATGCTCCTTCATGCAAGTCTGCTCTGTGCTTTGAAATCCAAGGAGCCCGTTTCAGCTGCCTCTTGCCTCCTCCCTGGGCCCGCTGTATTCATCTCCCACAGTCTTCCCTGCCTGCCTAGTGACCCCACCCTGTTTGCTGGCTTCTCGCTTGTCCGGCCACGTGTGGGATGCTGGGAGAAAGAAGGAAGGAGCAATGGATCACCCCCATTCACTCAGCTGGCTGTTACCTGGCAACATGCAGAGCTCTGCCAGGAGGGGGTTTCCAAATGGGGGTGGGTGGCTGCTAAATTGTGCCTGAGGCAAAATGGTAAGGTGTCACCACCACCCGCCTCATTGCCATGCGCCCCGAGCAGGTGGGGCACTCTTGGGGGCACCGTCCCCTGGGATTCCGCCGCCTGAGGCAGGCAGCTTCACTTTTTTTTTTAAAATGATATTTATTAAGAATTTTTAAATTACAGAAAAAACAAAGAGGAAAAAAAAGAAAAAGAAAGGAAAGGAAAAACAAACCACAATCAAACAATACAAATTAATCAAAATCAAAATCAAAAAACAACAACAAAACACGTAACACATTACAAACCACAAAAATTTAAAAACAAATCCAATATTCCCAAATCCCTAACTGTCCTTACCTTATTTCATCGACCTCCTCACTCCTCCCCTTTTTTGTATTATATTTGTTAATTATCACAGCAAATCCTTTCCATTTTTCATAGTATTCTGTCATTAAATTACTGTACCTTAATCTATTTTAACCTTATCTTACTATAAAAGACCCTAAAACTTAAAGCTTAAATTCTGTTTATACCAATTTCTCATAACCATGACATATTCTTATATAATTCTTTTAACATTTCTGCTAAAGCCAAATAGTTTCGTTCCAACATTTTTCTAACATTCATCCATTTTATAAAACAATCCTAATAAAATTTTTGAAACTTTCTTCCAATCTTCATCCAACGTCTCTTCCTCCTGGTGGCAGGCTGCTTCACTTTGCCTCACGGGCAGGGCAGGGTAGACCAGCCAGCCCTGACTTGGCAGGGACCAACCTGGCTAATCCCTAGGTATACCCCTGCTCACCTCCAAAACCCCTTTCCCTTACAGCTTGCCCCCAAATGCCTCCCTCTCCATCCTTCACAGAGAAAGCGTAGCTCTCCTTCATCCACCCAAATGTAGGCTTCCTTCTCGCAGCTGCAGGTGGATGAAGCAGAGGACGACTCTCTGCCTTTCATTCCCCTCCCCTACCTCCAGTGGCAGTGGCAGCAGGGCAGGTGTTGGCAGGCAGGCCTGTGCCTGCCCTCCCAGGCAGGCAGACTCAGTGGGTAGCATGAAAATGAATTAATGCAAATATAGTATAGAGATATGCAGGCCGTGAAGAAGTCTGGATCAGTTAACTTGCTAGGATAATATGATTGCAACCCCCAAATAAGAAGCCATGCTAGAGCAGCAAAATGAGTCTCAGGTCAGGCTCGAAGCAGTTAACTCTAGCCAGCAGTTGCCACAGAGGTGATTTGATGCAGCAAAATGGGACATTCTGGCCTGCAGCTATGTGGTTCTCACTTGTGGCTGATGCCATTGAATCTGACAAGCAAGCTAAGCAGAGGCTGCTAGATCAATAGCTTCAGAAGAGGCTTCCAAAACAACAACAGCAGCCTGTCCTAAGAACGTCTGGGAGGGAGTGGTAACTATATTCCCTGCCCAGTGCAACAGAAGTGACTCCACTTGTCCAGCAGGGCAGCAGCTCAGGCCCAAACCCAGCACTCTAGCGCAGGGCTCAAAATACCCAGGCACACCCCTGCGGCTTGCGAAACTCTGTCTCTTGACAACGAGAGGTGGCATCATCTCTTGAGTTCTCCAAATCCCCAGTATAATCCAGTCCTTAAGGCAAAGGGTTGACAGCTGAGGGTGGTGGCAATCATTAGGGAAGATGATTAGGGAAGTTTTTAATATTTAATGCTGTATTGTTTTTAACACTCGATTGGGAGCTGCCCAGAGTGGCTGGGGAAACTCAGCCAGATGGGAGGAGTATACATAATAAATTATTCTTATTCTTATTATTATTATTATTATTACACTAACAAGCCCCATGTAAAGCAGGGTGAAGTTCCTTCACATGAGGTATGGAAGGCTATTCAGCTAACAGCCTTTCTGCTGCTTTTTTATTCTTTAAAGGGAGAATTGTGACCTCTAAATAAGATGCTCTGGAGATTCATTTAGTACTTCTCTTTGTAAACTAATAAATCTGTAATAAAAATATATTTTAAAAAATTAAAAAAAAAATAGTACTACTCTTCTGTACAAGAGAGATTGTGACTTCAGTAATGCCACTCAACGAGATGGAGTGAGCATCACCCTCGCCTCTGGCCTCAAAGGACCACCCTGCCGGTTAATGCCCGACGCGCTTGCCTGGCCTCCCCCAGATCTCCCCGCCTCCTGCCTCCCTCCCTCCCTTCCCCTCCCCCCTCTGGAGTTCAGACAATGCCAACTAAAACATCATTTGTGCTTTCCTTCGGGTGGGGGCGGGTTGCATGCTTTTTAAAGTGATTTGGGATAACTGGGAAGCGAGACAAATGAACCCCTTTCGTTCAGTTTATCATTTACCACATGCTGGAAGCCAAAGGTGCCAAAAGTTCCCCAACGAGAAGCTCTGCACTCGGCGCCATTTCGAGCTTCCTTCATCATTTTCAGTTCTCCAGCAAAGCAGCTACGTTTGATGGACCGGGGCGGGAGGGAGGATTGATTGGCATGGAAACTCTCCAGTCTCCAGCCCAGACACAACGTAGTCAAAATGAGCATCCAATAACCTTTCTAATAGGTCTTCTCTTCCCCCCCCCAAAAAAAACCATCTCCAATCGCACAATGGCAAGGGGAGGGATGTGCAGGAAAATAAAACAGTTGAGCGATTTGTAGCTCCCCCAACCCCGTGTTTAGTTTGCTTCGAGAAGAGCGAGGGAGGGAGGGAGGGAGAGGGCGCGAGGCTTGGCTGTGTGTGCAGAAGACAGTTCCATTTGCATTTAGCATTTCTGTTTTGTAGAATTACAGCCTATTCTGAGCTCATCTTTATTCTCGGTGGACTCGTAGGTTCCGTTTACCTTTTGAAATACTGGCCATGTGTCTGCCTGCTCATCCTCGCAGCACCATCCTCGGTCGTACTTGCTAGCCGAAGCTAAGATCTTCGCATTGTGTTCAAATGTCAGTTGCAGGCCATATGTCTGCTCCACCACCTTCCCGTGATACGCGCGCGCAACACACAGGGAGGGGGGGAGAGGGAGAGATTCATTCTTGTTTTGAGGGGAAGAGGGCAATTTCGGGGCAGTGGTACAGAAATGCTGGAGCCAATCATTCTCAAGTCTGTTTGGGTTGGAAGTCAGCAGTCACTTAATTTAGATTAGGGTCAGCATTTTAAAAATACTCAATCCATTTGGGTTGGGAGCTAACAACCAAACTCACAGAAGGGGAGTGTTTGAACAATGCTGGAGAAATGTCACAGATCTGCCCTGCCCCCCGCAACACTTTCCCTCTATATTTATACCTGGAATAATCTCTTCTGAGAGTTCCTCTCTCGCTGCTTTGCGGGTGCCTTTTCTGAAGCTGAGTGTTAACCTATTTGCAGCAGGAGACGGGGAGTTCCTGTGTCAGTGAGAGGCGCCATCTGGCAGGGACACCCAGCCTCACCCCACCGAGACTGGGTGCCTGTCATCTCTCTTGGTCCAGCACCGCCAGCAGGCTGAGCATAAGATGACAGGAAAGGACCCTACAAATCTGGCACTAGTGGCGTTGCTGAAATGAGAGAGAAGGAAGAACGAGACATTGGCGAGCGCAGGAAGCAGCACCTTGGAGAGCGCATATGTTCTTCAAGCTGAGGAGGCTGCTCTTGCATCCGTTTACCTCCCACACCAGACCTCCGCCTCTATCCTCAAATTTGCAAAAGACATTTTGTGCAGGAACAGGCCGGGGAGGAGATCGAACTATGGCTTTAGGGGACCTCACTGACATGACTGAGTTGTCCCCTCCAAGCCAGTAAGCCTGTACTCTTGATGGAGGGAGAGAGAGGCATAGACACTGAAGAGGCAAATGAACTAAAAGTCATGTTAAACTGTGCATGCTCCAATTGCAGAATTCATTCGAGAAAACCTCCTAGTTCAGACAGAGTGGAGGGCAGGGCAGGTCGAAGAAGAGGGGTGCTAAGGTAACAGAGCAAGAATGCTCTTCATTGCGGGGAGGTGGACTAGATGACATGAGGAACCCCTTCCACCTCTACAATTCTATGATTCTGTCTTATTGTCTACACAGTGATTGGCTGGCATTCCCTTTTGACTCCTTTATTCAGCCCTGCTTCCTGAATTCTTCCCTGGAGATGTCAGGGTTGGGGGGGGGAACCTAACACCTTCAATGTATAAGCTATATTCTCTCCAGCTGAGCTTAAAGCCCTTCCCTTTTTAAATCACCCTTTTACAGCACAAAGCTGGGCTCCCTCTCCCATCCATGTAGAAAACTAATCCTTTTTTATTCCTGAGCATATGGCCCTCTTTCATCCATGTTCCTATGTAATCTCCTTCTCCTGTTGCTGTTGTACTGGATGCATCCTGAACCAGATGTTGCCAGCTGGGAGCAGGTGCAGATCTGCTGCTATCAAAGGGAGTCTGGTAGGCCTTGCTCTGCAGCTTCGTGGAGCTGGTCCGCTTCTTCCTAATGAGGCATTTTCCATTTGAAAGATGATTCTGGCTCAGCTCTCGCTCCTTTGTACTCTGTCAAAAGCAAGAGAGGCATCT